ACTAAGGATTCTAAGAAAATGTAGTTGTTCCATCGTCCCCTTTAAGTGGCGTAGGCCCCCTTTCCGAGAATGGTACGCGAAATTTTTAGAAGTTACTTACATGAGCTATAAGAATGTGCAAGTGACTTATTTGTGAGTTTAATTAATTAAAATAATTTTTGAAATTTTTTGAAAATTCATTTTAGGCTTGTAGAAAAATTTTTTCGGGAGCATATTTTGGAAGCATAACAAGAATTTCTTCTTTTTTTTCTTAAGGACTGTACAACAATGATGTAACTGTTCTATCGCCCCCTGACCATCTCATTTGGAAAGGGTATCCAACAAGGTGACACTATTTTGCCGAAGCTGTTCGCCGCGGCTTCGCAATGGGTGATGAAGTCACTGGACTGGGACGAGAGAGGCATACGAGTCAATGGGGATTTACGTCAAACCTTCGATTTGCAACCACATCCACCTCTTTCCGAGTAGTATCACTGAAGAAGAGACGATGCTGAGGAACTGAAATGGTGTACAGTAACTTCATGCCCCTCTAGTTTTGTAGTAACCACATGGCACTGCAAAGAAATCCAGGACTTTGACAGACTTCGTTATACAACACTTCTATGCTCCCAAAATAATATACAACTTGAAAAATATTAATTTTTGACGTTAAAAAACCTGAATTCTTCAAAGACCATTGACGACTGCCTTTCTTTACTTTAGTTGATGTTTTTGTCTTCATGTTCATTGCGCACCATTAAATCAGGTACAACAAACAAAAGAAGTCCTACTTCTGTGAAAGGTTTGATTTAAGTCTTTCAAAATCGTTTTAGTAGCTCAACGAACAGACTAACGAACCAGGCATTTGATCGTACAGTGCGTTCAATAAAATAGGACTTCGATCAAACCACTTACATAGCTTACACAGAAGTTGATTGAAAAGAGGAGAGAACGGATGCCTGGCAAGAGCCAGTCGCGGGTTACTTTGAAAAAACAAAGTGGCGCTGACGCTTTCCAGTAAAACTTGACCTCTATTAGCCAAATGGAATTCCTCCCTCGCTTTACTATCTGAGGTAGCCATCCGTGCTTTCCTTCTCTATTCTCAGCTAAGATGACAGGCCAGTCTACTTCACACCTTGGTAATGTTTTCATCACACTAATTTTGGCACACGTTCACGTGTATTCATCAATACATAACCCTCACATTTATTGAAAAAAAAAAGACGCGAATTGAAGAGACTCACCTGAGGTCCCTTAGTTCGAGCACGTCGCGTAAGTCAAGCGACGGTGCGTGAGTGTTTACGGTCGCCTGATTCATGTGACGTTACCGTCACGTGGTCATATCTCACTTTAAGCGGACGATTTCCAAATCTAAGAACACCGTTCGACTCAGGTCGACGCCAGAGCATCTTCTGATATATTGGAAGTGGGGGTACGATAGGTGTACGGTAGAAAATCTAGCTCCTGAAGCTCTGCATAGAGAGGTTACTCGATGTGCTTATTACAAAAATGATGTTTATTTGTTGCAGTTGGTAAACGTAGAGTTACGTTAACTGTACGATGAGGACGACTTTGCACATGTACAATTTGCGCACATGATTTACACATATATCATATATGTCTAACCACACTAATTCGACAGAAAACGCAAATACTGACGATCCGCGTTTTTTGGTTTCGTTTTTTCACCATAACTCCCTTCGGATTGCATAAATATGAGTCCGAAAAGCGTAATGCTCTACTCTTTAAGGCGAATGCTGTATACTACTCTGTCTTGCTATTTGAAATTTTTCGGAGTGCATGGCTAACGCTACGCAAACTCATTTGAAAATTTTTTTCTCCCCTCCTTCAGACGGAAATCCTGGGACAGCTACTGTTAGGTATACAACCTTTCAGATTTTTTGTTTTTCGAAGCACAAGTAGTCCATGATGACGCCATAGCTGAATGTTCCTACCATAATTGTACCGTAATAAAAAGTGAATGGTGATTCGCTCCACAATGTAAATCTGAACTGAGGCCAGCTTTGCAAAACGGAAACGGATCAAGGTGTTGATGCTATTCGGGCCCTCTTTTATCCCCCCATAAAGGTACCTCTTCAAACACTCTTCCCTCTCCCTCCCCCACTTTACCTCCACCCCATAATCCACGCTTTTGCGGTGACCTGCATACAACGAATGTCGGATCACCTTAAAAAAATATTAATAGACCTTATCCAAAAATTTATTCACCAAGCGAAGAAAAATGTACTTACAAGTTGGGAACTAATACAAGTAGTGAATTGCTCCCAATAATTCTGCTTAGTTTGAGTAAGTGGAAAATTTTGAGATTTGGCTGCGCTGTATTGGGTTGCGAAAAGATGAGTAGAAAGAATATCAATCAATGAAAGAAGTCATCAGTTTTAGTCCGACACTGACATTTGAACTGTAACTTGCGTAGAGGCTGAATTATGAACAGAAGAATAAAATAACGAGTAGGAAGAAAAATTTGAGAATACGGAGCACTTCATTCAGTCGATACGACTGGTTATCTTGTATAATATACAGGGTGTCCCAAAAAAATGTATCGAACGTTTGATCGTTAATATCTCTCTTATCAAGAAGTGTTTTGTTTTGCTTTAGGTACCGTTTTGTAGAGCTGGCTTCAACTTAGATTTGCATTATAGAACGAATCACCCATCTCTTTTCTTTACTGTAGGATTACGGTACAAACTTGAAACATATGGTGTCAATGTGGAAAAAGCTGCCGTTTCAAAATTTTTCAAAAAAATGTGAAAACTTGTGTATTGGGGTTTTTATGGACGCTGAGTTCAATACTCAGCTATTCACAAGATTACGAAGCTTTTTAAGCGGTGTAACCGCACTTTTTAAGAACATTGAAAAAAAGGCCGCTACCTCTTACCTGGCATAACTCTTCAGTGAAGCATCATAATAAATTGGGAACTTTATATTTATAATCAGCAACTCTAAGTAGCCTAGGGTAAGAGTTTTCAGACTGTTTTGTTCCCTTTCTGGGGCAAAATATGACTTTTCATTCCTTAAAATCCTCTTTGAAGTTTCTACCGTAATTCTACAGTAATGAAGAGAGATGAGTGATTCGTTCTATAATGCTAATCTAAGTTAAAGCCAGCTCTACAGATTGGTACCTGAAGCAAGGCAAAAGACTTCTTGGGAAGAGAGATATTAACGATCAAACGTTCGAAACATTTTTTGGGACCTGAAGCAAGGCAAAAGACTTCTTGGGAAGAGAGATATTAACGATCAAACGTTCGATACATTTTTTTGGGACACCCTGTATTTTCCAGCAGATGTATGAGATTCTTCTGCGATCAAAAATAAGAGCTGGCACAACTCATACATGTTTGAATGACTGTACTGAAAGACATTCATCATGTTTCTAGAAATAAAAACGCTTCAGTCTATAAGGATAGTGTTGGGTTCAATTCTCGTGTGCGATTCTCAGTTCCATTGATCTGTATCTAATCTTGGATGCAATAATCACCTCCCCTTTATGGTCTATTGTGATTCCATATGGTGCCTTTGCATGAAGCGATACAATGAGAATTTTGCTTTTGTAAAAAACCTCGCTTCTGCTCTCATTGTTCTTATCTCGAGAGGAATTTTTACATCAAAAAAAATAGCTCAATTAAAAGCAGGAACCTGACCGACTTACTGTATAATTAACCCTATCTTTCACTCAAAAGAGGAAATTTAGTAACTAAGTTCGATATGAAAGAAACGGATCACAAATTGAAAGTGAAAATTGGAAAGGAAATCAATTAGAGTGCCGAGGAAGTTTTCCATGTCTTCAGTATTTCCGCAGCAGCACTTCACTTTCGGAGCACATTCGCAGGGTTTTCGCAGCTAACCAGGCGGAAATGCTGCGAAGGCGCTACGGAAGTTCCAGGCAGTCGTCGGACCTGGCTGACGGCCGAAGGATATTTTACATCTGCACCTTGCAGGTTTCAGCATTTTTTCGATGTCATGCGTACTTTTCTTGCTTCTGCAGATTACTGCAACCGATCACTGTGTAGCTAGTTCTTAGTAAAATTAGAAGTAGGTGTAAGTTGAATTTGCTTGTTTTCTAATTATTTGAGAGCTGGTATGGGTGGGGGGGGGGGAACTGAGCGTGCTGATTATGAATGTCTGCTTTAATGGGCATGTCAGCAAGATATTTGATAATTCATTCATATATTCATATATTCAAACGATCTTTCCGAATGTATAGCCGACCATAAATAATTCGAATATTTATTCAAAATTTGACTCTCAATGTTCGAATACAACTGATATTCGTTTAATTGATATATTTAATTTTAAAATTCTATTACATATTTATTTATTCGAATTCTCAAATTTCAAATTTATTTGATACTCGTCTACGCGAAATTTTCGAATCCAATCAATAGTCATTCATTCGAGGTAAATAATTTAAATGAAGTATAGAATGCAGGCCATTTCCATCAACACTGCTCAGCATAATCACCTGAGCTGAGCAAACGTGGAGCGGAAACCTTTATATAAAATTTTAGATATCAACTTTTAAAATTCATTAGCGGTATGCCTTATGCCAATCGACGAATTTTGCGACAATCTCTTGTTGGCGCAATGAATCGGACAATCGTGCAAAAATGCGATTGGCGTAATCAGAGTGTAAAATTGCAATGGTAGAAATAAGCGCGTTTTGAAGAGAATGAGCGCGATAATGTTGCGAGTTCATTTTGAGCTTGAACTGCTCTTGCAAAATCTATCTGTTAGAAATGCACTTGCATTGGCAGTGGGTAAAATTATCATTGGCAAGCCACAGACATGCTATTGTCGAGTGCGTGGCAGATCTAAAATTCACTGCGCCCCTGTATCTTGACACCAGCATCAGGTCGTATAAAAGTGTAACTTGTACAGCACATTCGCTGAAACGATGATGCTATGGATCTCAATTATCACGGTAAATACACTACTGGTAACTATATGTCTTACTTTACGTGTAATTTCCGCAGTTACGGCCTGTTTCGAGCAGCATTCTTATGCCTGCAACGAAACTCGTCTCAGGAGCAGGGCCCGAACCGCCTTTGCCGGACGGATTCTGTAATGAAAAGAAAAAAACACCAAGTGAAGCAGGTTACGATAGTCTACAATGGAGATTCAGTCAAATCAGGCAGACATTCAATAAAGAGCCAATGGTTAATGCATTGTAAATTCTTACTTTGAAGAATAATCATTCATGCTAAGAAATGCATGAAGAGTAGTGACAATGACGGCAAATTTCACTAAATTTTTAGCACAATAATTTCTTGTAGGCCAGGACAGGATGGACAGATCTGGAGAATGATGCCATGAAATGCTTCGAAAACCCTGGTCACTGCGTTCCCGTATATTATGCGTAAGTTGCGCGAATAGTTAAAGGAATATGATCGTGGTTTTCCTTTTCTAGGATCACTCTTCCGCCGGATGGTATTGCTTTATTGGCAGAGAAAACGTATATAGTGCCATTGTTACAGGTATAGTGACGCTAACATTTATTTTGATCACAGATGCGACTATCGCATGTACCCTTTAATTTAAACGGATTGATCACTGGGAGGTGAGGCTTCGTGATCTAAGGCTAGAGAGTGACCAGAGAGCACGTTAGCGAGAGAGGCGTAGACTGCGTCGCGGACGCTAGCGGTCGTTTTTCAGCCGCTGATCTCGTTGATTGAAAGGGTACGCATGATAGCAAACGCACTCCTAGTAATAATACAGGGTTTCCCAAAAGTAAGTACACATTATTCAATCGTCAATATCTCTCTTCCCATTGGATCTTTTTTTTTGCCAGTCAAATATCATTCTGTGGAAAAGGCTTCAACTTAGATTTAAAGTATCGATCAAATCGCCGATCGCTCTTCGTTGCTGTAAGATTACGGTAAGAACTCCCGGCACGTGGAACCATTGTAAAATATGTTCCATGTTCGACTTTCGATGAATCTTGGCATAACGATTAAGTTGCTTGAGTGATTCAGCCAACACCAAGATTTTTATCGTATTTATTCGGCTAACGTTTCGGCGTAGTCGCCTTCGTCAGAGCCTATAAAGTGAGGAACATTGAGAATTAACCTCCCAAACATCTCATCACATGCAGGAAGAGTCCAAAAAGTTGAAAAGACTCCCGTTAAGGCCTAGAACTATCAGCTCACCTTTTGCTATTAGATGAGGACGAACCACCGCTGGCTGGAATGCGTTGGCAATGAATGAGGCAAGTCTCTGGAGGCTACGCATAGATCAAAACCTGCATAACTCCAGTAATGGCGCGAGCTCGGTTGTTACGGCGGTGCATTCTTCTTTTCTGTTCATTTTGGGATTTCTGGATAGTATCCAGCACGCCTCGAGGGTCTTTCGTGCGGACACCTCAGTCTCCCGTGAAAGAATGCTAATGGAAACCTCGAATTCTGCGTCTTGGTGGCATAACCTGCGATGTGTGCCCAAGAGGGTTGATAACCTTGATCTTCGCAACCCGTCCAAGTGCTCCTTGATCCTGACGCATAGTGGCCTTCCCGTCTCTCCTACATATTCCTCCCCGCATAGCTTACAAGTGATGAGGTAAACCGTACCAGAGCACATGCAATCGCCGCTACGATTTGTTGCGCAGATTATGCAATCACGGGTGCTACAAGTTTGATCATATGCTCTGTTGCGCACTAGACGTTGTTTGAGATTAGGGGGAGGAATCTCAACGACTCTGAGTGAGTCTTGCAGTCCCGATTTTCGCACGCAGGCCCTAATGACCTTACTCAACTCGTCCGAAATAAAGGGGAGGCAGAATGTTACCTTGCTACCATCATCGCCAGGTGATCTGTTGATGTGGCTCGCTCGCGCCCTTCTGCATGGGTATCCGTTAGCCTGCGCTACCTGTAGTGCCTTACTAAGTGAAGCAGCTTTAAGGTCATCGTCCGATGACACCGTCCTAGCTGTGCGAAGCATATTCCCGATTACGCTGCGTTTGGTACGAATGGGGTGCGCCGAGGAGTAATGTACTAGAATGTTCTTACTGGTTGGCTTCCTGTACCACCTGGTCCTACACTCCCCTTTCCTCAAGCATATCTGAATGTTAAGGAACGGAAGCCAACCCTCCTTAGGTGTTTCCCTGGTGAATCGGATATCAGCTGATTGCCTGTTGAGCAGGTCAAAGCACGTGTCCATTTCCGTCTGAGTCGGACAAACGATGAGGCAATCATCAATGTATCGATAGTAGAGAGTAGGACTGCGGCTGAGTACTGGCTTTTCTACTTTGGACATGAAGCATACAGCTATCGCAGGAGCCAAACGCTGCCCCATAGCAAGTCCCCTGATCTGCTTGAAGTATTGCCCCGACCAGCGAAATATCGAACAGTCTAGGCAACCTTCTAATAGCGTCATGACCTGCTGGATAGTAAATCCATACAAGCTGATGTTATCGATCCTCTCATTGAGCAATTCGAACACAGCTTGCAGGGCGGCTGGATTGGACGCGTTCGTATAAAGAGCTGTAACATCAAAGGATTCTATGACTTCGCTTACACCAAATCGCATGCTTCGCAAGTGCTCTAACAAGGCGCTCGTATTGGGCAGGTGCGCAGGGATAAATTGCAGCATTTGAGTGAGGATGAGGTTGAGTAACCAGGAGATCCTATCCGTTGGGCCGCCGACGTTACTTATGATAGGACGAACCTTGTAATCTGAAGGGTCTTCTGAGTTTATCAGGTCGGACGGTAACTTATGCGTTTTAATTAGTACGTACAAGACAGGACATACTGGTAGGTCACATTTGAGGCGGGATATGATGTGTTGCGATAGACCTGCTGTCCGTGCGGTCTCTACCCAAAGCTTATTAAGCTTCCGATATTCCCTTTTAAACTCTTTTTCTGTTGATTCCCGATATGTTGTTCTGTCCTCAAGATGCTGTTTCGTGATCGCGATCTCAAGTGCTGTAGGCATCACTACAAATTCACCGCCTTTATCGCTGACCGTTATTTTTATAACATTAGAGGCTGTGAGATCTCGCAATTCTTTAATACCCCTTTTCTGCGCTAACGTGAGGTTGGACTTTTGGCGCATATTGCTGTATCTTTTGAGTACGCTGTAGACTGAGGTTGAGAAGATCTGGAAAGCGCAGTCTACTGACGGTACTGGTTCTTGAGGCTTGTAGTAAACCGACGGGAAGGGCATAACAGGCAACGCTGAAGTTATCAATCGGTGATTTGCTTGCTGCGTCTCCAACTTGGCCTTATATCGCAGGCGGTCTTGAACGTACTGCAGGCTACCTATGATTTTGCGTGCCACCGCGGGGCATATTGATTGAGTAGGCGAGAAACTTGGTCCCAAACTGAGCAAAGAACGCGCATCCGCGGATAGTGTCGCACCGCCAATAGCCGTAACTCGCGATAAAGTAGGCTCATTATTGCTAGCATTGTTAAGCTGGTGGTCAACGTCACAAGAAGTGGTGGCTGTAAGTGCAACTCTAGCCTTATCTAAACGTTCCTTATCTAACAACTTATCGAACTTTTCCCGCAATTTTGATTTGATGTTAGAGTGGATAATATCACAAATGTTCTTAGACTCACTTTCTATTTCCTTCCAAAGGCTGTTAGGCAGAAACCGTTGGCAACTCGATTCTATAGACAAACATTTGTTCATCATGGGGACTTGCTATGGGGCAGCGTTTGGCTCCTGCGATAGCTGTATGCTTCATGTCCAAAGTAGAAAAGCCAGTACTCAGCCGCAGTCCTACTCTCTACTATCGATACATTGATGATTGCCTCATCGTTTGTCCGACTCAGACGGAAATGGACACGTGCTTTGACCTGCTCAACAGGCAATCAGCTGATATCCGATTCACCAGGGAAACACCTAAGGAGGGTTGGCTTCCATTCCTTAACATTCAGATATGCTTGAGGAAAGGAGTACTCTGCGTTGATACCACTGCTT